TATGTGGGTGTGTCATTGTAAAACGTAATCTGTATGGCTGGAAAATTACGTCACATGACTTGATAGGTAATAAATAGATGGATGCTAGTTTTTTGCCGTTTTTTATTTGGAAATAAATGTGAAGAATAAAAAATTATGCAAAATTAAAAATATAATTATTTTATTACCTAAAAAACTAAAAATAAATGCATCAGAAAGAGGCATCCATGCTTTACATTATTTCAATAAATATGAATTCCTCTAAGCAGACGATTGGTGTTTTTTGTTTTTTTCTTTGTTTTTTTTTTCGTTTTTTTTTTTTTTTTTTTTTTGTTTTGAGCCCGAAATGCGATTTGAAAATCGGAAAGACTAGAATCAAACAGACGCGAAAGTTTAAATATCTGTGAAACGTCTTGCCAGAGGACGGTAAATGCGACACTGAGATCCGTAGACGTATTGGGATAGCCAAGGACATTCCAAAAGCTGGGCGAGACAGGAGGATTTCTTTGGTAACAAAGAACAGAATATTGAGATGTTACGTGACATCTGTTCTTCTTTACGGCGGTGAATGTTGGACGATTTCCTCAAAGATGAAGAAGAGACTCGAGGCGACAAAGATGTGGTTCTACAGAAGGATACTAAGGATGGATAATGAAGTCTTAAAAGAGGTTGCAAAGAAGGAGGAGGCTTATACTTAATATCAGGAAGAGGCAGCTGAAGTTACTGGGACACATAATGAGGAAGGAGGGCCTGGAGAATCTGATACTCACGGGTCGAATAGAGGGAAAGAACTTGTTGAGAGCTGCAAGGGATAGAGGGAAGTGGGGAGCCATGATCGCCTACGTCCTGAAAGGACATGGCACATAAAAAGAAAGAATGACCTTCAACTTAGACAATTATATTAAAATAAATGCTAATATTGATATAAATCGTCACTCCTGGGGCTACTATTACTTGAATGGAAAGGTCTTTAGTGTGATATCAGTTTGCAATTTCATTTTTTTTTTTTTAATTTTTCCCCCTCAAGGAAATATTTGCATTAAAGTGATGTTTCAGATTAATGTCTGATTATAGTCCTGGAACAATGATAACTCTCCTCCTATGCCATTCTGATATTGTTAATTTATTTTTCGTTCCCAAAGTCTGCTGTTTGATAACAATGCCTATCATTGAATGTCAAGCTGAATGTTCCAATAATAATTATTACAATACAAATTAAAATATATGTAATTGATAATAAAATTGATAATGTTGTTACCTCATCATTTTGCGTCATGAACTGCTTTTAAAATGAATCCCACGGCTTTATGTGCGGCCTAGTAACTAATTAAAATGATAATTAGCCACTATAAATGGAATCGGGTGGGAAGAGTCTTTTGACTGCGAGGGGGGGGGTCCAAACTAATGAATGATTTAATAAAACGTATTAAACCCTTTACAAATAAATAAATAATCATATGGACCGGTTTTATCGTTTCATTTGCTTAAGTGGGTTATCATAAACATTAAAATCTAGATAACGCCAACTTTGTCAGTAAAAGTTAGCCGAAAGCGTATTTCTTTCTTTTTATGTGCCATGTCCTTTCAGAAAGTAGTCGATCATAGCTCTCCACCTCCTTCTATTCCTTGCAGCTCTCAGCAAGCTTCTTCCCTCTGCTTCCACCTCCCAGATCACGTTCTGTCATCCACCTGATCAAGCTCGTCAGTTATGTCACACGCCGCTTTCCTTTGTCTCTCTTTTCTTCTATTTGACTCGTGAGTATCAGATTCTCCAAGCCCTCCTTCCTCATTATGTGTCCCAGAAACTTCAGCTGCCTCTCCCTGATGTTAAGTATAAGCATTCTCCTTGTTTGTAACCTCTCTAAGACTCTCATCATTGCTCACACGCTCGGTCTATGATAGCATTAGCATCCTTCTGTAGAACCACATCTCCGTCGCCTCATCCTTTAGGAAATCGTCCAACATTCGCTGCCGTAAAGAAGAACAGATGTCACGTAACAGTTTAGTATTCCTTTCTTTGTTATCAAAGAAATCACCCTGTCTCGCAATACTCTGCTCAGCTTTTAGGATGTGTCCTTGGCCATCCCAATACGTCTACGGATCTCAGTGTCGCACTTACCGTCTTCTGTCAAGATGCTTCCCAGATATTTCAACTTCTTCGTCTGCTTGATTCTAGTGTTCCCGGCCTGCAAATCGCATTTCGGGCTCTTCCTCTTACTGATGACCATGCATTCTGTCTTCTAGTTTATGCTTAGTCCTTTCTTCTCACTTTCCGTCGATACCTTCTGTAGGATATTTTGTAATTTCTCTTCCGTGTCTACTCCCAATACTGTATCGTCTGCGTATCTTAAAAGCTAGCCACAACCTTTCACTAAATGATCATATGATTCAAATATAGCAGGAAATGAACACGAGTTCCCATGCGTAAGTAGAAAGAATCACTTTTTTCACAATGCTGTGTTGACTTTTGTTGTATTTATTAATATATTTTCTAACTTAATTTGTAACTTAGAGTCGTATTTACTTAACCAATAGTTGTAAAATCCGCTATTAGTTAAAATAATTAAATATTATTAAATAATATTAAATAATTAAAATTAAAAAAAAACAGTATTAATTATAGTTTTATAAACATATGGTATCCATTATAGATTTCTAACTAAAACCAATTAGTGTTCACTGTCAAATTTTGGGAACAATGGCCATGGCTAGACCCCCAAAGTAGATAAGGTTATTAGCATATAAAGACGAATTAGCCAACGTAGTTTAAAATTCCCGGCCTCGTCGGTTACTTTCCCTTTCGCACTAATTCTCTTAGGAAAGGCATGGGTCCATGTCTTCTCTCTAAAGCTATAAGTTAAATAACAAAGTAGAATGGTGTCTCGACACTTTGGTGGTAGTCAGTCTAGCGGACAGAAAACTCGGAAATCAAAACCGCGAAGAAGGTAGCGGAACAGTATAAACACTTTCACTACAGCATCAAACAGAAAATGAATTTCTAATAATGTTATCAAACAGAAGATGAATTTTTCATAGTGGCATCAAACATGGATTTTTAATAGTGGCATCAGACAAATGGCTTACACAGCGGCATCAAACGAAATTGGATTTAGTTTAACGGCATAGAAGAGAGTTTCTAGTACCGATAACATAGAGAGAATTTATCAGAAGAAAATCAAATAGAACAGGATTCTCATAATGAAATAGAAGTGGATTCAAACAAAAGTCAATTTCTCATAGAAGCGTAGAGACAGATGTGTAATTCTCATAGGGCATTAAATAGATGTAGCGTTCACATAACGCCATCAGATCCCTCATAGGGGATCAAATAGGTGTAGTTTTCACATAGCGGCATCAGGCAAAAGCGAATCTCTCATAGGGAACAAATAGATGTAGTATTCACATAGCGCCATCGGACATGTTGATCACTCTTAGTGTATCAAATAGGTGTAGCTTTCACATAGCGTAATCAGGCAGAAGTTGATCTCTCATAGGGGATCAAATAGGTGTAGCTTTCACATAGCGTAATCAGGCAGAAGTTGATCTCTCATAGGGGATCAAATAGGTGTAGCTTTCACATAGCGTAATCAGGCAGAAGTTGATCTCTCATAATGGATCAAATAGGTGTAGCTTTCACATAGAGGCGTCAGGCAGAAATTGATCTCTCATAGAGGATCAAATAGCTGTAGCTTTCACATAGCGTAATCAGGCAGAAATGGATCTCTTATAGGGCAACAAATAGATGTAGTATTCACGTAGCGCCATCAGACATAAGTTGATCTCTCATAGAGGATCAAATAGGTGTAGCTTTCACATAGAGGCGTCAGGCAGAAGCTGATCTCTCATAATGGAACAAATAAGTGTAGCTTTGAAATAGCGTCATCAGACATAAGTTGATCTCTCACAGTGGATCAAATAGGTGTAGCTTTCACATAGCGGCATCAGACAGAAGTGGATCTCCCATAAAGGATCAAATAAATGTAGTGTTCAGGTAGTGACATCAGATGGAAATTGGTATTGTCACTACGTCCACACGCGGCTCCTAAATGGACCGAAAAAATGTTTATCATTTATTAATTTCCGGCAGCCTGCAAACTAAATTCTTGTCCCTGACTCTCTCCATTCTTTTGACCATATAATCATCTTACACAAACGCGAAAAAATTAAAGGCATTCTTATATTTTATTTTTATGTTCACCGTATGCAAGGCTCATGGGCAACTCGAGGTAGAGGCTAACTGAATAATGTTTGGGATATGAAAGCAAAAGTAAGAAATTAGGACAACGTGGATATGGAGGATAGATAACGATTCACCCTTGATTTGGAGAGGAACAGAGGCTAGCGTTTAGGGAAGTCTGTTCTACAAAATAGTTTTTCTTGGAAAGATGTTTTCGAAGTATAACTTCCTCCTTACAAATGGAATACGGAAGAAGTAAGAATGGTTCGATTTCGTGGATGCAGCATGACGTGTCTTATCTGCATGGTCTGAATTGGTGAAACTAAAGAATAGTGCTCCTCTGAACATTTGTAATGGAAGAAGTGAGAGACTTCGTCGTCACTTGGTGTGCAATACTCTACTCCAGTGCAAAAATAAGTCCAAAATTGTTTTACAACCAGAGGACGTGGCCATAAAAAATTAATGCTTAGTTTCTTTGTATATCCTCCGCTTAAAAATGCGTATTATACACAAAAAATACGGTGCTTTGCTTTGATTTAGTTATATAAAAAGCAATTCCACACACTAGCAATGCATTACTTTATTCGTCTTGTTGATGTCATAAATGCCATATATGTCCATAGAAATAAAAGCATTATTTAGGGTCATTTGTAAAAAACGGACAGGCCGGGGCCAGCATTTTCAAATGCTTTGTCAACATCTTTTGTGAAAGTTTTCTCTGAAAGGTGGTTAGAAGTTCTTGTCGATGTCACCTCCCTGCGCCTAATGGTCAGTTAACACGATTAAACAGTCAGTAGATAGCTCCCTGTGACAGATGACAAGTGTAGCACCAAAAAATCAGCGAATGTCAGCCGTAAGACAAAAAGCAGCTAATAAGACAACCATTTGTCCACCGTCTATTTGTCTCAGCCAGTTTTTATCTACCAACCTTACCAGACAATTTTGGTGACTGAGGTGATATCAACAATACCAATAAAGGTTCATGCACAGAATAAAACTTGTGAAAGTCAACATTTTTTGGCGTGAGAGAATGTTTTTAGCGCGAACAACCAGTACATCGGGGAACAAGTAAAATCTTTCATAATATAATTTTATTTTATTATCTTATCTTTATTATCATCACCAGTCCCCATACAATGACCGAAGTTAAGCAATATCGAACATGGAAGTATCTAAATGGGTGACCGCCTGGGAATACCAGGTGCGGTAAGCGTGGATATGTGTGTGGCGTAATAGATAATGGTTAATATATGTATATGTAAGTTGTTTTCAAATGTAGCAATCAAACGTGGTGTAAGAAAGGATGTATGATTTAATTTCGTCTAAGGTCGCCAGTATGTCGCGCACGTGTCGTATTTCGACTCTCTCTCTCTAAAAGCGGCATTCACCCTGGGCGGATTGAGCCGGCTTCTTCCTGTTATGAGAAGAAGATTCTTGGGATAAATTACAGAAGTAGGGTACCCAGGCCTACTCGGATAACGTTCTTGCTTGCCGCGGGGTTCCCACAGACGCAGAGACAGGAACGACCAGAAGCCGCCGGTTACCGATGCAGACGCTCCTTGGATTTTCATCAGAGCCCTTGTTAGCCGGCGTGTGTGTTAGACCTGTCCGCCTTGGGTGGCCCTACCAGGAACGAAGTTCCGGGCGGCATAAGCTCTGACACTACCGTTTACACCCCCACCGACTGAGGTAAGGGTTGACTTTGGGGGCTTACAGTACCAGGTGTTCTCAAGCCGTCCCCCATCTAAGTACTGACCTGTCTCTACGATGCTTAACTTCGGTGATCGAACGAGAACCGGTGTTTTCAGCGTGATTTGACCGTAAGTAAATTTCGACTCTGGGTATGTTACGATGAACGATGAATCGGGAAATGGATAAAATTAATCAATACATTCTGATTTAGGTTGATTTTCCAACTCGTTATATACATATCTAGAGATCCGCTTCAAAAGTGCCGCCTCGTTTCTCACTGGCTCACGATTATATCCTCGTTGGGAGCAGTTCTCATTTCCGATTGGATCGGTAAACCAAGATATCTGTATCCTGGTCGAGACGCTTTCTGATTGGTTGGTCGAAATAAGGACGTTATGGCTTAGCGATTCTGAATATACATCTATTTTTAGAGATGGAGAAATTTTGGTCCCTCGTTATGATGTGCTTATTTTTATTTATTTTTCTATCACTACAAAATAAAAATGATGTCTGCTACTCAATTTCAATTAATACCATCACTTGTTTAATCCTTATTATAATGCATATGATGTCTGCCACCTCGTTGTCAAGTTTGATCAACCCAAAAATATGTCATAGTTTTGCTTCAAACTATATAACTCAGGCTTTTAAAACCTCAATGCTGACATATTTTGAGCACGCATTGGTTATGAGTTCAAGCAACTAAAATCTTACGATATCAAATAATGGCTGTGAATGGAATTTTTAACATGAAGGAAGACATTGTACTGTGGGAATCCCACTCTCTAACCAAGAACAACATGTACAGGAAAACATTATTAAATGTTGTCAAGTTGCAGGTGTTACATTAGAGTTTTCTTTCTTCGAGTTGGAAAATTTAACGAAGGTTTAGTGTCTGCGCGCCTGGACACCGACCCGGGTATTTAATCTTTATACATAGATTATGTATACATACATACAGATAGATAGATAAATAGATAATGAGGTTAGATGTCGAAATCAATATTATTTTCTCCTCCATACTCCATATTGGTCATGCTTCTGCTATAGAAAATTTTAAAGAATATATATATATATATATATATATATATATATATATTAAAAAGAATATATATATATATATATATATATATATATATTAACTGATTTAAAATATGGTTTCTTCACTACACAGTAATAACCATGTTTCAAAAACAAAAGCTAAAAACTTCAAATTTAATTATATAATTAAATGAAAAGCATTAGTTTGCTTCATCTTCAACCGGATTATATATCTTACTGTTCTTTCTTTATATATATATATATATATATATATATATATATATATATATATATATATATATATATATATATGAAGAAAAATATACTGAAAAAAACAAACAAAAATCCTAATATGCGATTACGATGGACATAAAAGCAATACCAATCCAAACAGATAACTGAAATCTTTTATAAGATCAGCGTTCCGTTTTAAATATGATCACGTCGTCGTCTTTTTTCATGTTGAATTGTATATGGTCTATGTTAATTATGTTTTATGAATATGTCCTGAAGATGGTCTATTATTTGAAACGCCCGACGTTGACATTAAACATTAAAAACAGCATAATCGCATATTAGGATTTTTGTTTTTGTTTTTTCAGTATATTTTTCTTCATACTGTCGGATCTATATCCATATATTTCTTATATATATATATATATATATATATATATATATATATATATATATATATATATACTACACGAACTAAGATAACACATAGAAATGATACAGGACTCTACACGGACGATGGTCTGATCATCTTAAGAAACTATAACAGACAAAACTAGAAAAGCAATAATAAAGATTTTCAAAAATATGGGATTCGATATAGACATAAAAACTAACCTAAACGAAGTAGATTTTCTGGATGTCACCTTCAACTTAAGAAAAGGTTTGTAAGCCATCCAGAAAACCCAATGATAAACCACTGTAGATACACACATCTTCCAATCACCCACCATCTATAATCAAGCAGATACCAAAATCAATTAACCACAGGCTTTCCGACAATTTTTCCAATGAAAACATATTCAACGAAGCTAATATATAAATAGTTGAGAAAGAAACATAACACGTGTGGCCTGATAATTTAGCATAAAAATGTCTATCGTCTCTGAGTGTTGACTTCAATGTTCACTGTATATATATATATATATATATATATTCCTCAGGACCACCGAAAGCGCACCGGTTCTAAATCCATGTAGCGATATTAGTGTCAGCTGATATCTAGTTCGCTGGAATCATCTGAAAGATGTTACAGAAATTGTTTCAGAGTTATTGTCCTGATGATTATCAGCTAAGTCAAGTGGACCTCACAAGAACCATACCAAACAACGATCCTGACAAAGTTCTTTCATAAATTACTTTTTCAGATAAATATGAGAGCGGACTGGACAGAACGAAAGACCTCTCGCCGCGATGCGAAAAGAAAGACAAGCCCGTTAGACAGTTCGCACCCTAGCTCCCGCTTCATCTCTATCTCGTTCTTCTACAACAGAAAGTTACAACTGAAAATTTGCTTACTGCTCTTGAGAGACATCATCAATGAACCACCCAACCAAAGTTAGCGCAGAAATTTGTCATCGACAATAATGTCAACGTTTTATGTGGCCAAAGGAGATTCTAAACCCAACTGAGAATTTGTAGAGAGAGCTGAAAAGACGAGTAAAGGCGAGGAAGCCATCTTGATCTTAGTAATAAAAGAAAAAAAAAATCTGGGCTATTGTGATGAAGAGAGAAAACGTATTGCAGGGTATGATGACTAATAAATATTTTGCTGATAAATGTTTTTAAATTGATTATTTAGATATGGATATGAATACATCTGTATATGATTTCTGGGACTAAACTGAAAACAAGAGCTCAAAAATGTACTTTTTATCCATATTCCTCGTGTATTATTTCTTTTACTTTCTTTATATGTATAAATTTGGTTTAGAAAATACTTTTTAAATATAAATTTCGCAAAGGTATAAATAATGTTTGAAACAACTGCGCACACACGCACAAACAAACACACACACACACACACACATATATATATATATATATATATATATATATATATATATATATATAAAGGAAAAACTCAATACATCATTAAAGTTTTTCGATAATAATTTATTTCACACAGATAAGTGCCTCATAAGATTGGAGTTATAAAACATTTTATAACACCGGTTTGATGAGGAAGTTATTTGTCTGAAATAAATTATTACCAAACTCTTTAATGATGTATTGAGTTTTTTGTTTGATGTATACCATATTGCTGTGTATTTTGATATATTGTACTCTCTTTATGGATCTATCTTTTTAATAGTTTATATTAAAAAGACCTATCTGGATTATCACTACCACTTGCGGATTTGATATTATGATATATATATATATATATATATATATATATATATATATATATATATATATATATATATCTTTAATACCAGGTATGCAGTGACTGCCACGACTATAAGTTTCATGTATTTTCACACAATTATCAGGCTGTAGTAGTAAGGTGAGTATCCTATATACCCACCGGGTGAGCTAAATTTGACTGGTAAACCAAACTCACACGGCGAGGAGGGCAAATCATTCAGCCAAGATCTAAAATGGCCGAAAAAAAAAGGGTTCTACATGGAAAGATTTGTCAGAATGGCAAAAAGCAGCCAATAACAAGTGAAAGTAGTGTCACTGTCTACCAAGTTTTTAAATTATTATTAAAGCTCTGCCATTTCTTATGGCATTGAACACTTTTATGCCAGTAGGCGACTTTTAGGAAAACTCTTTTCAAAGCTGCTCATTCTTTCCTGGGTTTGTTTATATATATATATATATATATATATATATATATATATACGATAAAAATATAATTTTACGGTATGGATAAAAGTGATCAGTACAGCGTGCCTAAATATAAAAGTCGACACTAGGTTAACACCGAGTGGCGACAGTTCATGTTTCATACTTTAATGTAATCTTTTATATATATATATATATATATATATATATATATATATATATATATATATATATATATATATATATGTGTGTGTGTCATAAAATAAAGAAAAAAACAGGAAACGTCTATCAATCGAACTTGTTTCACTTTTATTAAAGCCTCACCAGAGAATGAGAAAAAGAAGAAAGAAATTCTGGTATTTTTATTTTTATGTTTTATTTTGTTTTTATTGGTTAATCATGTTTCA